ACGTGGACGCGCGGTCCGATCGGGGCCGCTGGGCCGCCGAGAGCTGAGCACCCCCCCCCCGCCCCGCGCCCAACTTGGGGACCTTTGGGGCAACTTCCCCGGAGCCAGCGCTCCCCTCGGTTCCCCGACCTGGGCTGGCAGCGCCGCCCCGGGGGCTCGTAGGGGAGGGGAGGGCGACTGTCCCCGGGTCCTGAGCGCACCCCTGCCCAGCGCAATGCTGCGGGTGCCCGGGACGTAGCCCCACCAGGATTCGGCTGCCCGGACGCGTCCTCGGGTTGCGCGAAACGCGGGGGCCAGCGGGGGACGGGCAGGCGGGGCGAGCCTCTTAGGGTGGCGGTGCCAGGGCGGTGAGGTGGGGTAGGGGGCGCGGCCGGAGGACCGTGTTGCAGCGCGGGCGGGAGCAGCTTGGGGGCGCTAGCTGGGGCTCACCGGAGCCCGGGGAATCCTTTCAAGTTCTGGGTCCCCTTTGTTGTGCGATGGAGCCCCCGGGGAGCGCGGCCTCATTGGCCGGGGACCGTGACGTCACGATCTGGCCTGCCCGCAGCCCCTTTGAGGGGGTCTGGGGGTTCCTGGGACGTTCGCACCTGCTGTGGACCCCTCGATGGGACTGGCGTGCTGCGCGTTCCTGGCCGGGAGGTGGGGCCTCGTCCTGGAAATACTTCCTGGATGCTGGGAGCACGATGGGGGTTACTGAACTGGCCGGATCTGGCTCCCTCTGACTGCTGGTCCCCAAGAATCAGAACCAGGAGGCGTGTGACGGCGCATGCGAGCGACACGCTGTCCCCATGGCCGGTCTCTGTCACTCTGCACCTAGAAACCTGGCATCGACCCCCTCCCAGACCACAGTGGGGAGAACTGGGCCCTGACCTGGCCCTCACTCTTTCCTGCCGCCCCCAGCTTGGAGGGGCTGTGTCCCCAGACCGTGGGATCTACCCTGCAGGGACGAGGCTCAGAAAGACCTCTCACTTCTAGGAAGGGAAAATGCTTTGTTCCCGAACACTTTAGAGATGGAGAAGCCAAAAGCGGGTGTTAGACCAGCAGAGCCTGTGTCCTGGCTCAGGCATGTAATGGTGCAAGCCAATGGTTTCACCTCTGGGTCATCTTTTAATGCGTGTGGGGGCCAGCTGTGGTGACACAGGCCTGTAATCCTGGGACTTGGGAGGCTGAGGCAGGGAGATTGCTGCGAGTTCAAGGCTAGCTTTAGACCTCTTCTCAATAAATAAATATGAAAATAAAGTAAGTAGATGAACTAGGCATGGCAGGAGAATCCATCGCACAACGTTGCCAGAGACTTGAATGAGGAGTGGGTCTGTCTGCAGGAACGAGGTTCCTCCATGTCCCTGTCCTGCCGCGAGGCTCCACTAAGCCAGACCAGGGGAAGAGCTGGCGCTGGACAGTGCTGTGCTGGGGCCAGCCCGCAGTGCCTTCCTACCACCCTGCACCACCACTGAAGGCAGGACCAGGTGGGTGGCTTGGGCCAAGACATAGGTAGGCAGAGCCTGCAAGGGCTTCTGATGGCCAGGGCAGGTGGCAGGGATGCCGGTTGCCAGGTGCATGCTGGGTCCAGGTTCCTGTGTGATAATGCGGAGGTCACTGGGTCGGCAGCCGCTGCCTGCACCCTACCCACTCTCAAGCCCTGCAGGCTGCCAGGCACACCAAAGGCTGGCATGGCCCCGTGGGCACTGCTCTGAGGTCCAGAGTCCTAGTCCTGGTCCTGGTCCTGGTCCTGGGTGAGTGTGTGTCCACCCGAGGTCCAAGCCCACCCACACCTCCAAGTTTAGGGTCTTGGGCCTCGGCAACCATTTACGGAGTGCTCTGTCCAGACTGTGTCCAGACTGAGTCATCGTCGTCAGGGCACTAGATGGGGTCCCCGAGTGTCCTATGGCAGAGGACAGACTGAAAGAACTCCAGACAGGATGAGAGGGGCTGGCTCCCAACTGGCGGTGTCCCTCTCCCTGTCCCTGCCCAGCAGCCAGGGGTTTGCTCCGTTCCCAGTGGGAGACGCTGCATGCTGGGAGACCCTGAGGCTGTGCCTGGGGGTGGGCACCCAAGAGTGTGGGGTGCATGAGGAGGGCACCCGTGAGATGAAATGGTGAGAAGGCCCCAGTACCTGTAGTCAGAGCAGCAGTGGGCTTCACTCGGCCTTGTCCCCCTGCCACCCGCTGCCGCCGGTGTCCTGCGAAGGGCTGCCAGGCCGGCAGAGCGGGGAGGGAAGGGCCTAACCAGCCCTCCAGCAGGATGGAGCGCCTTCCGCAGCCTGTGCCCCTGCCCAGCCATCCACTTCCCCGGCTCACGTCTGAAGGCGCTGGCAGCTCCTGTGGGGGTCAAGCTCTGGGCTCCAGCTGTGTCCTGGCCTGTGCCGCCCGGGCCACCCATGGCATGATCCTGACTTTAGAAACAGGTCTGTCCACTCAGCTCCCCGTTGCAGAAGCGTGACAGTCCCGTTAGAGAGGAGGACACGGTGACGGTGCCAGGACCATGCCCAAGCCACACAAACAGTGCTGGAGCCTCAGCTGAGCGAGGATTTTGGAATATCTGATCTTGAGTGGCTTTGTTGTGGACCAGGGCCAGGGCACATGTGAGGCAGAAGTGTCCACTTGGCCGCCACATACCTGGAGTCCATCTGTTTGGGAGCCTGAGACAGGAGGATCACAAGTTCAAGTCCAAACCGGGCAACTTAGTGAGACCCTGTCTCAAAGTAAAAAATAAAAAGGGCTGGGAGTGGTGCTCAGTGGTTGAGTGCTTGCCGAGCATGTGCAAGGCCCTAGGTTCGATCCTCGGTACTACAGGGGGAGAAAAACCCCACAACAGCATCCACCTGGGCCTGGCCTGGCCTGGTGTGAGGATGCAGGGGAAGGGGAAGAAAGCCTGGGTCAGGAATGGGCACCCCTGTGTAGGGTCCTTTGGGTGCTACGGTTATGGACAGGAGGCCCCATGGGTAGCTAGAAAACAGCAGGGCCAGACAGGAAATGGTGCACGGGGTCCTCCTCACCCCAGCAGCCCAAAGTTCGGGTGCTGTATTCAGAGGGGACCCCCTGAGAGCTCACGTCCTCCTCCCCAGCTGCCTGTGGTCCCTGGTGTCCCCGAACCATCACCTCCAAAGGCTGCCGCTCTGTGACCAGGCGTGGCCCCGAGGAGGATGCCTCGGCCACCTGCCCGCTCCCGTCTGCACCATGGGGGATGAGCGGCGGCTGCCTGGCAGTGCGGTGGGCTGGCTGGCATGTGGGGGCCTCTCCCTGCTGGCCAACGCCTGGGGCATCCTCAGCGTGGGCGCCAAGCAGAAGAAGTGGAAGGCTCTGGAGTTCCTGCTGTGCACGCTTGCAGCCACCCACATGCTCAACGTGGCGGTGCCCATCGCCACCTACGCTGTGGTGCAGCTGCGGCGGCAGCGTCCCGACTACGAGTGGAACGAGGGCCTCTGCAAGGTCTTTGTGTCCACCTTCTACACCCTCACCCTGGCTACCTGCTTCTCCGTCACTTCCCTCTCCTACCATCGCATGTGGATGGTCCGCTGGCCTGTCAACTACCGGTGAGTGCGGGAGGGCGGTCTGTGTGAGCACGGCAGGAAGTCCTACCTGTGCACACCGGGGGCCCCTGTGCTTATGCCACACCTGTCTGTGTAGGAGGGGGCAGGGAGGCTCAGGAGGCATGGGTGGTGCTGGGCTGCTGCACACACACGTGTGCAAGAGCACACACAAGTGTCCCGTGCAGATGTGCCTGTGCGGGGCGTGGTGGGGCTCACCTGTCACCCCAGCACTCAGGAGGCCGAGGCAGGAGGATTAGTGTGAGTCTGAGGCCAGCCTGCACTACATAATCAGCTGAAGGCCAGCCTCAACTACACAGTGAGACCTGTCCCCATGAATGTCTCTGAGGACAAAGCCCCGCCGCACCGGTTGTGCCAGGACTGTGGCACACGGGTGGTGGGGAAGAACCTCTGCCAGTCCAGAGGCCTGGGCCAACAGCCTAAGTGACACCGGGTTCCTCTGTCCTGCCCCATACCAGGCTGAGCAATGCCAAGAAGCAGGCCGTGCACACGGTCATGGGCATCTGGATGGTGTCCTTCATCCTGTCGGCCCTGCCCGCCGTCGGCTGGCACGACACCAGTGAGCGCTTCTACACCCACGGCTGCCGCTTCATTGTGGCTGAGATCGGCCTGGGCTTCGGGGTCTGCTTCTTACTGCTGGTGGGCGGCAGCGTGGCCATGGGCGTGGTGTGCACGGCCATCGCCCTCTTCCAGACGCTGGCCGTGCAGGTGGGGCACCAGGCCGACCACCGCACCTTCACTGTGCCCACCATCGTGGTGGAGGACGCGCAGGGCAAGCGCCGCTCCTCCATCGACGGCTCGGAGTCGGCCAAGACCTCACTGCAGATCACAGGCCTGGTGGCCACCATCGTGGTCATCTACGACTGCTTCATGGGCTTCCCCGTGCTGGTGGGTGAGGGGGTCAGGCGGGGTCTGCGGGAGGGCTCTGGGACAGCCTGAGGGATGGGTGTTAGGCGGTCGACTCAAATCCTGCTCTTTGAGATGCACAGTATGACCCCGTTTTACACGTCTGGAGTGAGGGCCACTCTGGTGGGTCCGCGGCAGGGCAGCCCAGCAGAGGGGCGTAGTGGGGAGAGCTGCTCATAGCACGGTGGACGGAAGCAGAGAGAGCAGGAAGGCGCGGAGAAGGGACCTAAATCCTCCCAGGCCGCCCCCGGGGACTTCTCTCCTCACCAGCCCCCAGCTCCTACCAGCAAGCCCGCTATAAAGCCTCTATAATCCAGTCCCCTTCCAAATCTGCGCCTATGAGTGCGTGCGTGAGACCCTTGGGGGTCTCTAGCTAGAGACCTGAGCAGACCTTAGGACTTGGCCACACACTGGTCTTTCCGCCAGCTGCAGCAGCCCCTCCTCCCCTCCCCAGGGCCCTCTGATGCAGAACATGTGGGAGACAGGGTCACATGTCCTGTGTCCCAGGAAGCGCAGGTGGGCAGGAGGGGGCTGCATGGGGACCGGGAAAGTCCTGAACATCCCTTGGGAGGTTACTCCTTGTCTTAAAGGTCAGGGACCAGGAAGGTCCAGTGGGACCGGCCAGGGTCCTCTCTGTGCAGCTAGCACTGTGCTGGCCCCAGAATGAAGTCTGGGCTCAGTAGCCAAGCTGCGGCGGGACCCAGCTCCAGAGAGGGTTTGTCCAAGCGTTCGGGAAGGCTGAGGAGCGGACTGGTGGGGCGGGGCGGCAGCGACACAGCTGGGCTGCCTTGGACCCCGGCTGCAGGTCCTTTTGTGCACGTGGGGCCTGGCATCTCCCGCCGTGGTGCTGATAGAGCAAAGGGGCTGGGGCTACCCCAGCTTCTCTCCCGAGCAGAAACGGGCTGCCCTGGTGGAGCCCACTCCATGTCTCTGGCCTGTTATAAACAGTACCTGGAAACTTTATTTCCCCACAGGCCACCTGGCTGGACTCTGGGTGCTGGGAATCTCCTCTGGGGTCTGAGCCCCGGACCCTCTGAGGAGGCCAAAGCTGAGGGCCCTGGCCAAGGAGAAGCCAGCTGCGTGCTGGCAGGAAGCGTGGCCCTGACACCTGGTTCTCCATGCCTGGCCTTCACCCACTTCTCTCCGTGGGGAGTCACATGGGCACAGCTGGGCAGCACCTGGGTGGGAGGGGCTCATTCCTGCATCCTGCACCCCAAAGGGCCTGGAGCTCTGTCCCTGGCTGCCACCTGCCATGCCTGGTGGGTGTGGACACGCCATGCAGACAGGCAGCCGAGTCCTGCCAGTCAGGCCAAGCTCTGTGACCGCAGGTGGTGAGCTTCAGCAGCCTGCGGGCTGACGCCTCGGCCCCCTGGATGGTGCTCTGTGTGCTGTGGTGCTCCGTGACCCAGGCCCTGCTGCTGCCCGTGTTCCTCTGGGCCTGTGACCGCTACCGGGCTGACCTCAAGGCTGTCTGGGAGAAGTGCATGGCCCTCATGGCCAGTGACGAGGACTCGGACGACGGTGAGGACGGCCTGAAGGTGGCCCCTGGAAACAGTGGCATCTGCTTGAGTTCCAGAGACCACCCCCCAAGGCAATTAGGTGACCCAGTTCTCAAAGGCCAAACACTCCCCGCATCTCACCCAAGCCGGCGTCCCATGGGCATCCTCCTAGCCTGCCTGGCTGCCCTGGGGGACTTCCAGCGAATCCACTGTCTGTTAACAGAGTGGCTGTGGGCGCCAGGCCCAGCCTGACCCCTGACCTTAGCAGTGCCCAGTGAAATGCCATGTGGGCTTGGGGAGCAACACTGTGGCTCTAGGCTAAGTACTGCTGTGTGCCAGGCACTGTTGGCCCCTGGCTGTGTCTTCGGTCCCAGGAAGCTCACGAGGTAGCTTCAGGTCCCACCCCATATCTAGGAGGATATGGGGCAAGTGTTCCACGCTTGGTGGGCATGCTGGCACATGCCTGTAATCCCAGCACTCAGGAGGCTGAGGCAGGGCTACACAGTGAATGCAAGGCCAGCCTGACTACATAGCAGTACCCAGGACCTGGGTTACCCTTTTCAGGTAACCAGGCCCCTGCCTCATGTGTATCTGTGGGGATCCCCAGCAGTACCTTCCACTTGCCCCTAAATTCCCATGGCTCCACACCTCTGTCCCACCCTGCAGAGACCAGCCTGGAGGGTAGCATCCCTCCAGACCTGGTGCTGGAGCGCTCCCTGGACTACGGCTATGGAGGTGACTTTGTGAGCCTGGACAGGATGACCAAATACGAGCTCTCTGCCCTGGAGGGGGGCCTGCCCCATCTCTACCCACTTCGGCCCCTGCAGGAGGACAAGATGCAGTACCTGCAGGTAGGGCTGGGGCAGGGTGTGGCCATGCATGTGGGTGGTGGCCCCGGGCAGCTTCAGAGGAGGGCTCTCAGCTGCTGGGTGGTTGGAAGTCACAGGCGGGCCGGGCACAGGTGGGGCACCAAACCCCTTCCCTCATGTTCCCGGTTTTTCTCCCCCAAACCCACTCAACGTTCAAATAACAGAGGCTCAGAAACACTGTATATTAGACAGCCTTCCCGTCCTTGACACCACTCCTAAAAAAGGAGAGGTTTAATTTGACTCCGTTTCGGGGGTTCAGTCCATGGTTTGCCAGCTCCAGGGCGGGAGCACCGTGGTGGACCAAAGGCAGGACGCAGAGCAGGGGACGGCGCCAGGGGAGGGGCGAGGGCCCAGACATGCTACCCAGGGTCACGCCGGCATGGCCCGCCAGGCACGCGCAGGAGTGTGCTTTACTGATTCCTCTGTCCCTTTCTTAAGCCGACCATTGACCCCACCAAGGTTAACCCTGACGCCGGCTGTCACCTGCCCCACGGCTCTCAGCTCCGAGCAGGCGGCGCTGGCCCCCGACCCGCAGACCGCCCCGGCCACGCCGCAGCGCAGCCCCGGCTAAAGCCCGCCGCGTCCTCGCAGGTCC